CATGGGTAGTTGAGAGGTGCTTGACCTGTCGCCGGGTTAAGGTTGAGCACCAGCGTCCGCATGGCAAGTTGCAGCCATTAGAGGTTCCCCAGTGGAAGTGGTAACAAATTCTATGGATTTTATCACCAAATTGCCGAGGACCGCGAGGGGTGTTGATGCAATTTGGGTGATTGTGGACCGGCTGACAAAGAGCGCTCACTTCCTTGCTATTAGTGAGAGCTCTTATGCGGAGAGGCTGGCAGAGACATATGTGAGAGAGGTGGTGTCGCGTCATGGAGTGCCGATCTCGATTGTGTCAGACCGATATGTACGTTTCACTTCCAGGTTCTGGAAGAAGTTCCATGAGGAGTTGGGTACGAGATTGCACTTCAGTACTGCTTACCACCCACAAACGGATGGCCAGAGTGAGCGAACGATACAGACACTAGAGGACATGCTTCGGGCATGTGTTATGGACTTCGGTGGAAGTTGGGACACATACCTACCTTTGGCTGAGTTTTCTTACAACAACAGCCACCATTCGAGTATTGGTATGCCTCCCTTTGAGCTTTTATATGGGAGGAGGTGTCGGACTCCCATCTGTTGGGGAGAGGTAGGGCAGCGAGTGATGGGTAGCACTGAGATAGTGCTTAAGACGACTGAGCAGATACAACAGGTCAGACAGAGGTTGCTGGCATCCCAGAGCCGCCAGAAGAGCTATGCGGATATACGACGATCCGAGCTTGAGTTCCAGGTTGGAGATTTCGTACTCCTGAAGGTATCTCCTTGGAAAGGAGTGATCTGATTCAGGAAGAGGGGCAAGCTGGGGCCCCGATACATTGGTCTGTTCAGGGTGACCGCGAGAGTGGGTAAGGTAGCATACCGTTTAGAGCTACCTGCGGAGTTGAACCAGATTCATGATACCTCCCACGTATCCCAGTTGAGGAAGTGTATAGCCGATGAGACGGCAGTAGTGCCGCTAAAGGATATTCAGGTGGATGCGAGCTTGAATTACATTGAGAGGCCGATCGCGATTTTGGATCGGAAGATCAAGGTTCTGAGGAACAAGGAGGTGCCTCTGGTTCAGGTCCAGTGGCAATATCGGAGAGGGTCCGAGCTGACTTGGGAGCCGGAGACGGAGATGCGGGGGCAGCATCCAGAGTTGTTTGCAGAGCGAGACTTCGAGGGCGAAGTATGATTCTAGTGGGGAGAATTGTAACATCCGGATTTCCAGGTATCATAAATTGAGTATTTATTTTTGAGTCATGGAGAGGGACTCGACGAGTTGACGCCTAGACTCGTCGAGTAGGATCGCGACTACTGACCAGGATTAATGAATGGACTCGACGAGTCGGCGGGTCGACTCGACGAGTCCGCGCTGTGGACAGAAACCCTAAATCTTTGGGCCTGTTCCCTATTTAAGGGTCCTTATAGCCTTCATTTGCGGCCACTCATACCCTGGAGAAACCCTAGCGAGCCAGAGAGCTTAGAGAGAGAGAGAGAGGGCTAATTTCACCACCATAGTGCATTCTTGCAAGGAAGGAAGGAAGATTCAAGCTAGGCTGCTTAGAGGGGGCTCAGAACTTCTTCTATTTCTTCAAGGGTTTCTGTTTGAGGTATGAATCCATGGCTATTTTCGTGTATATAGTAGATTTATGGAATTTAGGGTTTCTTTACCCTTTCTTTAGTTAGATTATGGAGAATGTGAAGTCCCATTGAGGAATAGACTTTAGATCTGGACCTTGAGAGGTCCAGAATGTCCCAACAACCAAGCTTTATGATGTTACATGGGGGTATTGAGCCTAGGACTCCATTTTTAGAGCTACTTCTTCAAATAGAGTTATATGTGCGATGCATGAACGTAAAGTTCAAACCTTTACGTGACTTTTGAGTGTTAAAAGGTCAGATCTATAGGTTAGAGAAACAATCTGACCTCAGAAGGTCGTTTGAGCATTCTCATGGAAGAAACTCGCCGAGTCCATGAGCGGACTCGACGAGTTGGATCGTGTTGCACCACGATTCGTGATCAGTGGTGAACCATCGAGAGAAAGGTTAACTCGACGAGTCGAGTGAGGCCTTAGGAGGATTCAGAGGACACGCATGGACTCGCCGAGTCACCCGAGTGCACTCGACGAGTCTGGTCAAAGTCGGACCGTTGACTGGGGTTGACTTTTAGGGTTTGGTCAACATTTGGACATTGGACCATTGGTGGGGTAAAATGGTCTTTTCCCCTTTTGAGGGAATATAGGGAGGTACTAGTCTAGCCTTTGAGAGTCGTATTAATTAGAGATAATTAGTTTATGTGATTAGGCGGAGGCTAGATCCGATATTCGAGTTCAAGACTTTCCGAGATTACCCGAGGTGAGTCTTCTCACTATACATTACCTAGAGTGGTATCTATGTGCAGACCGGAGGGTCTTATGAGTTATGTGTATGTTTGAGTTTATGTGCATTGTGATATATGTATGTTATGTGTTATATAGACCGGACCGGAGGGTCCAACGATTTAGACCGGACCGGAGGGTCCAACGAGCTAGACCGGACTGGAGGGTCCAACGAGCTACGAGACTGGAGGGTCCCGCTGATACGCATTGACCGGAAGGTCATACCGAGTTATAGCCTCGAGTAGCTTATGTGCTGTATGTGGTATTTTGGGGAACTCACTAAGCATTTATGCTTACCGTGTTATGTGATATGTGTTTCAGGTACCAGCGAGGATCGCGGGAAGGCGCCGGCATGATTTGTACACATTGGCAGAGGCTTATGTTTTGAGATTCTGGGATATGTTTTATTATGATGACATTTGATACATGAGATTTTGAGAATATTATATGAGTTTTTATTATGATTGAAAAATGAAAAATTGTTTTAAAATTTACGTTGTTACACACATAACAGATAATTAGATAATTACCATTGCACGTGAATAGAGTAAAGGTCGGTCTCACGAACCACCTAGACATTTAGTAAAGTCAAACCTCATTCCAGGACCCAAAACCCTAAAGTTTGACACAAAGTCAAACTTAGTCAACATTTAGTCAAACATGTGCCCCACGCCCACTACTAGACAAAATAGTCGGGTCTCTAGCCTAAAACAGACACGCATCATAAGACTTCATAAGACGTGTCACGCCAGAGAAAGACACACCACGTCTAAGCCATAATCACAAGGGAAACTTGACTTTTCCATTAAGTTAAAGCTCAAACTTCAAATTATGGTCCTTAATAAGGTATTAATAGATAAAGTTTCCAACTTTATCCATTAAGACTACACAAACATTCATGATCTAAACTTTATTACACCAAAATGACCTAAATGATTAAGATAACTTGCATGACCTATTGGGAAGGCAAAAGATCATAACTTTCCTAGTCCATGGGGTCCAAGAAGCATCTCAAATTGTCAAAAGGTGTTGGAGTCCTCTCAACTCCAAGATCACCAACAAAATGAACCAAAAAGTTCATAACAAGACATATAGCAAGATCTAATTAGTCAAAGAGCAAGTTTGAATCTTTTTACTCACAAAAGTCTAGAAATAATGCAACCTTGTTGGATCTACACTTGAGCCTTCCTTCAATGCACACAATAAACACCTCGACCTTCAAGTTCACTCAAAACAATGACAAATAAGCTCCTAAAATGGATTCTAAGCTCAAAACAAGAGAAAGATGTGTTTAGCGTTTATGAAGTTCTCTTTAGGTGTAATGGAGGTTGAGAGTGAGCTAACCCTAGGGGTTAATGATGCTTAAATACCCCCCAAAATCCTAAAGAGACATGAAAACCATGGGTCGGGTCGCCCCACGCCCTATAAAAGGCGCCTCGCGTCTTTTACGATTAATTCCAGATTCTCAAATTTTCAGATTTCAACGAAAAAGCAAAATAAAACCAAAATAAAGTACATACCGGGAATAAAGATGTTACCGTCTTAATAATATATTTGGATTCATACATAGTATTACGTAGTAAAAACTGTGATAGAAAATCTAACTTAACCAACAAATTAAGTATAAAAGAAAAAATAGAAAAAATATTTAATAATAAATTTGGACGAGTTTTGTATTTCAATGATTTTTATATTAAGATGAATTATGATGAATTTATCATCGAATTCAGTGTTTTATGACACTTACAACTATATAAACAGTTCCGAAACCGAATGATATTTATGGTCCACCGAAAATGATATTTTTTATCTGTTTTTTTGTCGATTTAAATGTTTGTTGAACTTTATATTTCATTAGTAGAAATGTAAAAAACATAACTTAGAATGATATAAAAATATATTTTTTGAACAATACAAAAAAAAAAGATTTTTTAAACCGAAATTTTGCTCTGTCTTATAGACATTGCATTCAAACAAATTTTTATATATATAGTTATGTAGATAAAACTAAGAGTCTTAATGATATATTAGAATTTATAGCAATTATTAAGTATTAAATGTTGGATTAAAAATTAAACCAATCTATTTAAATTATTTACAAAAATAAAAAACCAATATTTACATGTTGCACAATGTTAGTTATTACAAATTATTAGTTATTACGGTGGTTACGTTGGATTCATATAACACCAATCAAAGTAAATGAAAATGGGTGTCATGTGGTAACAAACTTTACTAACATCTTCACACAAATGAAAATGACCCTCATTTGGTAACATATACTTCACTAACAAACATTTCTCCATTTGAAAACGATACACACAAAGCGCGTGCGTTGCAACAACCCTGAATTTGCGGGTGTGCATACAATTTCACTTTAAGCCGCATTTGGATATAATAAATAAGAATAAATTAATAATATCGTATAATCCTCGTATGTATATACCGCCGTATTCATTTTATATTTATTAAAATATTCCCCATTCTCATCTCCGCCACGAAACCCCACACGCTGCCGCCCCACCTTTTAGTCAAACCATCCGTTGACCCCTGCCCTATTTAATCAACCCTTCACCCTCCTTTCCTTCCCCCAAACTGCCTCCATTCTCCAAATCTTACCTTTTTATTTTTCCATTAATGGCGCCGAAAGAGCGATCCACCGGTGCCGGAAAACCTAACGGCCACCCCGCCGGACTTGGTGTTAGTGTTGGTGCGAAAGAGCCGCATTTTAGAGGAGTTAGGAAACGGCCATGGGGGAGGTACGCCGCTGAGATCCGTGATCCGGGGAAGAAAAGCCGTGTGTGGTTGGGAACTTTTGATACGGCGGAGGAGGCTGCTAGGGCTTACGACGCGGCGGCGCGTGAGTTTCGTGGTGCTAAAGCCAAGACTAATTTTCCGACACATGATGATCTTGGTTTGTTGAAGCTACAAACGTGTCCGAATCAGCGGAGCCCGAGTCAGACCAGTACGGTTGAATCGTCGAGTCGCGACCCTGAACCGGTGGTTCCGCTTTTGGATCTCAACCTGTCGTACGGTAGCCCTCCTCCCTTCGTAGTCCAGTTTCCCTACAACCACCACCACCACCATAATCATAACCAACCCCGGTTCTCCACCGTCCCCGGTGCCGGCTTTTATTCGCCGCCGGCGAACCAGATGTTTTATTTCAACGGAGGATCCAAACCATCTGCTCGCCACATAACCAATTGCGACAGATCGTCGGTCATTTTCCGGCAGTCTGCTAGTGTTGCGAAGAGCGACGACTCTGCGTCATCATCAGTTGTTGACTTGAAGCCGTCGCCTCCAGCTCGACGCGTCGGCGTCACAATCGATCTCAACTTTCCACCGCCGGTGGATTCTTGATATTCATATTCATCTTGAATTAGTAAATCTGAAACCGTAATTAGGAATATTACGTTTTTACTTAACCGGGTAGGAATACGGCAACGTCGTTTAGCGGTGGTGATCATGTATCGCCGATCAATTAGCATCACCGTCGGCAGTAAATACAAAACCAGATCTCCCTTTTTTTTGCGACATGTAGAGAAACTTTGCAGAGTAATTTCTCGAATTGTTGTTCGTTAAACGCTTATCTTGTCGTGTAATATGTAATTTTTGTTCAATGGAATTTCCGGTGACTTTTTTCCGATGATAGTCTATATGTGATGTTCATGTTCCTAGTGTTTCAATTTCCGGCAGTTCCATTTTGTACGGACGGCACACGAGATTTGAGTTGTTGGTGTCGGCATGATTGACACGTATGTTATTGTCGCCCACTTACGGCTGTGTTTTTGTTTCACTTTTAGACTAGGGTGAGAAAAATGCTAAAAGTCTTGAAGTCTAAAAGACTTGAATGCCCTTTCTGTTTGACTAGTTGTATATTTTTGACCAAATCGTATTTGATCGTAATTTTCGAATTTACATTTTCTTTTGTTTCTATGAAGCAAGAATTATTTTATAACAACCCTTGACAAATGCGTAAATCAATATTTCGCCCTTCTAAAAAAACTAAAATGATTTATGTTCTTAAAAAAACAAATAGGCACGAGAGTATAATCTAAGGTATTAGACCATCTGGTATGCTTGTTACGAAATGGTTCGTGGTCTACGTGCCCACTAACTACAAATATTAACATCATCCCCACCTTTTAGTGGTTAAATGTGATAATGAGTTGGCACCCATCACTATAGTGGTTAGTGGTGGGTATAACGAATGCCCTTATTATTAGTGTGAAGGTAGTCAAGCCTGGAGAAGGTAGCGGTTTAATTGGGAAGGTGTTGAGGTGGCACTCTGGCACAGCTGGTATACCACCCCCTTGCCAGGTACCGGAAAAAGGTACATTGGTGGGTTCTTTAACCCGTTTGGTGTTGGAATCAAAGAAGGAAAAAAGAAAGAGGATTGGAAATAAGGAAATAAGAAAGAGAATTGGGCAGGATGCGGCTTCAGCTGGAACATGTCTCCGCCTCTACAACCTGCCGACATTGAATGGTCACCTTCAAGGATCTAGGGATATTAATTAAGATGAAAGTGGGCAAAATGTGCAACCAATAATCATGTGTACTTTTCAAAGAACAAGTTTTGGACATAACTGTTAGAAATAGGGAATCTTGATAACAATTCATATTACTTAGATAGATTCAAGGGTCGTGTTTTGAATACTTTCTGAAATCTGTAATTCATCACTTATAGTCTGGGGTACATGAATTCAGAAGTGGGATAATCCAAGAAATCATATTTGAATTATAGGCCTAATCCAAATCTTAAATACAGAATACCTTGTGATGTTATGTGTACTTGAGAGACAGATAACTGAAAATGATCACTTTCGTATGTACCAAAGTTCAACCCTTTTCCTGGATCATTCACAAGTTATTTATACATGAAAGAAAAATGGTTAAAATCGGTTGCCTTCAAAATGGCGCCAAAATGATTAGTTATTTCACATAACCGAAGCCTACATCATCATGATGTCATCAGTAGGCTTTTTGGCGGGAAAATGCATGGGTGGAATCTTTTCTTATATAGAAATCTATTCAGATTTTGGGGAACTGCCCCGAGGGGATCTACCCCTTAGACCCCGCTAGGGGGCTTGTCCCTAGACCCCGCCACGGGCGCTGCCCCTTGGAAACTCGCATCCAGAGGCACTGCCTCCGGACCCCCGTATACTCGAGTTCACATTTAACACTCCGAGTGTACACTCCGTACCTCCAATCTCTGATGGCTAACTGATTCCGACCTGCCTCGATAACAATAATTATTACACTAAAATATGTTGACAATACTAAAATTACCAACAATAACTCGTTTCAAGATCATCTTATGGATCGCTATCATGAATGATACTTGACAAATGTACTATCTTTATATCCTTAACACCCAAGATTATATTGGGATTCGAGTGTAAGGAATACTATGCTTTGACATGGTTAAATGTACTTTGACCAGGAAGTTATAAATGTCATTTTCAGGTATGGTATGAACTATATAAGAGGCGTATGTAGTCAGTATGGGATTTGTTCCTCTTATGTGTTGAAAGTTAGACATCTTACGCGTGTTACCCAAAGTTGAACACCAAATGAAATTTATTGCGATTCAAATCTCATGTTCAACAGAATGTCAGTAACAAAGGGATAACTGATAAGTTACCTTATACATCAACTGTAGCTTTAAGCTTTTGGAAATTTGATATTGACGAATGACATTTCGTCGTGTGTTATTATAGGCAGTGAAATGTTGCTAATAATAAATTGAAAGATCTATATACTCAAAATCATTGTAGAATGATATTTACTAATAATATATGATCATATAGGGTCACACATTATAACAAGTAGACACTTATAGATAATTTATTAGAATTTTATTACTAATAAATATTATCAACTCTTGTTTTAATTGAGAAATTATTATTTATGGAAGTAATATTTTCTAAGAGAGAAAAACAACTAGAAATTCATATTGTATGGTTTATATGTTGTGTACGTCTTTTTGGACCTATTGAAGTCCATTTATATAAAGTTAATTTATATAATAAGAGATGCATATGCTAGAAATTTAAATGGAGTAAAACACACACAAGTCTCTCATCACTATCCTCATTACCATTGATTACCAAGGAGAGTGGGAGTTTGAGTGTTATTTTACCTTCTTTCACCCATGTTTGTCATAAGATGCCATGCTTTCTTTAATTACTAGTATAGTCCGTGGTACATATGTGTATGTATATAAAGAGAAGAATTGCAATACTTTGAAGCTATTTTTTCTTCCTCTTTTTCTCTCTAAATGACGAAAGTGTCAAGGGTCTTTCCCTCTCATCTTTCTTGCAAATTGTTTTTGTAGATTTGGGTGTTTAATGTTATTATCCTTTAAGAGTAATTTGGTATTAGCTCTTAGAGGCTTAAAAAGTACTTAAGACAAGCGAATACTAGAATCTTTGGTGGTAATACTTGCTTGGTGGATACTTCTAGAGAACCTTTTTCCATCTCCATCAACTTCCAACCTCTAGAGAGGAATCAAAGTCTTCAAAGGTTGCAGTTCGTTTTCTTTATATGATGGTTTTAATCTTTCATTTGATTGCAAGATGATCATTGGTGGGAAATAAACTAGTTTATGATATTCATTTTAAAATGCTTCCGTTGTTGAACTCATAGCTAATTTTTGAATATAACCCCAACAAATACTACTTCAAAAGAACTTCTTCAAAATTTCCTCTAAATCAACTTCGAAAATACGAAGAACATGTTCGCAAATGCCAAAAACATGTTCGATAATTACAAAAAAAAATTGGAGATTGTTTTTATTCTAATGGTTTACCCAATCAAAGTAAGCATTTCTCCTATATGTTTTTTATTTCAATTTTGATAAATTTAATAGCTTAGAACATTTTCAAAAGTAATTGAAAGAACGTGTTCGTAACTAATATGACTGCCACTTTTAATGTGTTTGAAATTACAAAAAGAACATGTTCAATTTTTTTTTGGTAAGGATATGTTCAAAAAATTTAGGTGGTTTGTTTTACATGTTATTAATTGCCCTTAAATGATTAGAATTTGTGTTATGTTATTAAACTTTGTTTGTCAAAATTTTCATATTTTTTATGTTCAGGTGATCTTCTATCCAAAAGAATTAAAAATGGTCACATATGTATCCTTTTTATTACATGAAACTTTTAGTGGTCAGGACTGCCACCAACAATGGGTGTAAAAGTCGATGATAAACTTTATGTCGACATTTTTCGCCCAACCTTTCTGCTAATAAGACATTTGTTGACATTTTATGCATTGACTGAATGATGAGCCATATTTTATTCATTGATTGAATAATAAGAGATTTGAGTATGTCCCAAAAGATGTCTCGAAAAACTAGTAATGTTTATCTATCTCTTGCTTTGATAACCACTCAAGTTTAATTTTATAGTGGACTGATTTTTCACTTGAGTAATTTGTTGGAAGAGATAGTGCTTACAGTCACAATGGTTAGTAATATTATTATTAATCATAGGGTATTTTTGGTTTACACGTAAGGACAAATATTAGCAAGAAATGACACGAGAGTTTTATTGTGATCTAGTTTGTTAGTTAATTTAGGGTTGAATTAATTAATTATAAACTTGTTGACTTAAGGGGTTTAAGTACGAAGATTTAAAAGTCAGATCTTTAGGATAATGGTGAAACTTATGGATAATTACTTAGCGACCAAGTAATTATCCAATAAGGGTTTCTAATCCTCCCAAATAATTAGAGGAGCCATATAAACGAGTTTTGATGATTCAAACCCTAGAAATTTCGTTTTCCTCATAACCACTCTTAAAATCCTGAAACCCTTACGTCGCGACATGAAAGTTCTTTGGCCGCATCATGGTTTACGATCAGAACCCTAATTGTTTAGGGTTGAGCGTTCTGCAGTTTTGGAGCTTGTCAATGGTTGCTCATTTGCTTCATGGGTGCGACCATGAAAGAGGAGTTCTAGTTTAGACTCTTAGCAATCCTCTTTTTTTCAAGATTCAAGAAGGTTTCAAAGGACTACAAAGGTATATTGTAACATCCAGTTAACCAGGTATATTGTTTTGAGTATTTAATTCAAGAATTTTGGAGAGACTCAACGAGTTGGTGCCTCAACTCGTCGAGTAGGGTCGCGACTTGGTGACGTGGTTAACGAATGGACTCGACGAGTCGGAGAGATGGCTCGTCGAGTCAACGCTGTTGGCAGAAACCCTAATTCTCTCGGGCCTGGTGAAAGAACCCCTTTCTATACTTTCATATTTCTGAAAGACCCAAACTTTCATACTTGACAATATAGTTACTCCAAAACATGTTACATGCATATTCATAAAACAATATTTTTACATTGATAAAGTCATTAC